CCCCCCCCCCCTGGAACTCAACGTGTTAATTGGAGTAAGAGTGAAACTCGGGTAATGTTTTCAGTAAGTTAAAACATTAAAATCTGACCACACCATTCAAAAGAGAATCAAAATATGACTCTTAACCATAACCATCTACAGAAAAATATTCTGATCCCCCCTAGCCTTTAACTAAAGATCCTACTAATATTTTGTTCAATACCGTGGCCTTGCTAGAACAATGTGATGGTTCCGTTGGTCACTAAGCTTGCTTTACAGCTTCCTCTAAGGACCCTGTACATTCTTTAATTTTTGCAAGAAGGTAATGTGCAATGTTTTATTTTAAAATATCTTTTTAGTAAGTAACATAGAACAACCGAATTTGCTGACCAAATCTGAAATCTTGATTTGATCAGACAAAGAATCACTCGTTAAAATACTACTTGACTCTCTCGCGCTAACGACCTTGACCGCGCAAGATGACTTAACCGATCCCCTTTCCTCATTAGAGCGCACCGTCCTCGCACAAGAAAGAGAGATATTTCGCCGCGGCGCGCTAACGACGTATCAATTTACGGCGACGCCGGCGACTCGCCGCCACGGTCGACGGCGGGGGGTTTCCCTGCCCCGGCGACCCGCGGAGACGAATCAGGCGAACTGGCTTAATCCGGAGGCAGTTTCTCTCGACGCGTCCGGCGTGCCGGCGCCCTTAAAAGGCCTTAAAAATGCAGAGCCGTAGTCGGCTGCTGCCGGCCGGGCCGCGTGAGGTCGCTCCGGATGCTCCGGGGGACAACCCCGCTCCACCTCCTCGCTCTTCGCCTTCCGGCGCCTCTTATAGCAGGTCGCCAGTGATCTCCATTTCTGACTATTCCGTTTCCTTTTCTAGTCTTCTTCTTCTTTCTTTCTGATGCGGTTTATTATACCCGGCGTCATTGACTGAGCGTCGTCTCCTCTTGCTTCGCGGAGCAGGGTGTCTCTACAGATTGTGCCCAGGACCACCGATGGACTTGGGGGAAGAGAGCGGGGGGGGGGGGGGGGCGTCACGCATGGTGAGCGCCCAGCCCGCCCCCGCTAGACCAGAGGATGTCGTGGACCACGGAGTTAAGCACCTTCCCGTACTTTGTGGTGTGGACTGCCGGCAACAAAGGAGCGCGTCAGCGCGGGCGTCACGCCCCGTCACCGTCAGCGGAGCACTCGCCGGGGCGGGCGGCGAGCACCTCGGCGTGCTCCTCCGCGCGGGGGCGGGGCGCAGAGGCGCCGGCGTGCGCCACGCACGGGAGCGCTTCCGCACCCAGGGGGCCCCTCTCCGCCCCGCCCGAGGCAGTCAGATCAGGAAGTGGCAATGAGTGCCAACCAGAAGCAGATGCTGCGTCATTTGTACGTTATCGACACGGGCGGGGCGGGTGACGCCGTTGCTTGTTGCTTCGTCGTGCAGAAAATATACAGGGTGCTGTCGAGGGTGCCCTATAGACCACGTACTTGATTTTGGTTATACTGTACTGAATTCAGGCAAGTGAATGGATTCCCAAAAAATAAAACCGAAGTGGCTTGCGAAGTCACATCATAGTACATGCTCCTATTTTTTCTGTTTGAGATTTTGAGGGGGGTGGGGTTGGGATGGGTTAAAACAGCACAGCTACCACAATTTTTTTTACGTGAATTTAAAATGAAATGATCAACAAACCCCACGGAAAAAAAAATGGCGGAAGTAAGTGTTAATCGAACACAGACTGGCAGGCGCCGGCCGAACGCAGCGCCGAGTGGTCTATCTGTCCGTCCGTCTGTCTAGACAGAAGCGCGCGCGGCAGTGAGAAAGTTCCCCTCTTCAAATAATGATGCCCGCAGCAGACGATCCGCCGCAATGCGGAAAATGTAAGCGTAATGCTCCTTCACGCGTTCCCGCCCAGCCCGGCGCGCGGCGGCGGGCGCGGGGAGGGTGGTGGTGGCACTCGCCAAGCTGTTGCATTGTTATGTCATTTCACTGCCGTCGTCGCGCCCCATCGCTCTCTGGGCGGGCTGTTTCCTTTTCAATGAACTCTCTTCCCTGGTTGACAAAAATGTGGGTCACTGACTTTAATGTGTCTGTCGTGATTTGTTGCAGTGTACAATGAGCACCACGAGCGCGACAGCCTGAACGGGGCCGGCTCGTCCGCTGCGGAGTCCCCCACGGGGCTCGGGGGCCTGGGCGGGCTCGGGGCGCTGGGCGGCCTCGGCGGCCTGGGCGGGCTCCAGGACAAGGGCGGCGTGCACGGCGGCCGCTGCGGACGCCTGCGCGGGGGCCGCACCTTCCTCAACCTGCTGTCCGGCGGGCGCGCCAATGTGTCAGCCGACATGCTGGAGCACACGGAGCCGTTGTGAGTGTTAAAAGAGAGCTCTCGTGCCTTAACCTGGGGGTGAACCTTGCACTGACTTCGCTTCTCTGTTGCAGCTGTCACCTGTGGGTGACGCTGAGCTCTCTCTATGGCAAGCTCGTCATCGTGTTCATGCTGGCCTTCTGCCTCACGGAGGTTATGGACAACCCCGTGAGGCTGCTGAGCCTGCAGGTAAGTTCATGTCCCCCACACCACACAGGATACGCGCACAGTGCCTCCTGACAACCGCTCGTTTACGTCTCGCCCCGCAGGGAGTATTCCTAATGTACCTGTACGTGGGGAGCATCGCGGTCATCATCTGCATCTACATCTGGGTGCTGATGGACTCGTGCGCCTCCCTGCACCACGGCGACCCGCGCCGCCCGTCCGCCCTGGACCCCGAGTGCGGCCACGCCATGTCGCGCTTCGGCTCCCTCAAGCGCGCCCACATCTCCAGGGACAAGACGTCCGGGACGAGCTTCTACCTCCGGGTGGGCGCCCTAGGTACGTGTGTGTCTGTGGCGTGCTTCGCGTCCGGCGATTCATATTCATATTCGTCCGACACGGGCGCTTTCAGCCCAACTTTGGACAGCTACTTATTATTTTGAAAGATCGTTAGTGGCGGCTCAGAGAGATCGCGGATAGCACCGCGCGTTATAACTCACACTCCATTCAAAGCCGTTGCTTCCACGTATACTCTTATCCCGAATTATAATTTAATCCTCTGGTTTACAGCCCGGACAACCGGTTCTTGGCGACTCTATTAGTGCAGGCCGGACATTTCTCATCCTCCTGGTTATTAATTTGAAAAATAGAAACAAACTTTTTTTTGTGTGTCTTTTAAAACTGTGCTCATAGCAACATAACGAAGGGGCTCCTCGTATTTCAGCACAATCATATTTCACTTTATGCCTGACAGCATTCGGCTTGGGCACCCTCGTGTTTAACGGCCTAGAGATGGCTATGCATTCCATGATGGAGGGCTCCTGCCTCAACGACGTCGTCTTCGTGCATCCCGTTCTCCACGGCCTATTCACCTTCTTGCAGATGCACTTCCTGTTCGTCAACTCGCAGGTACGCCCCGGCTCGTTTCGTCTCCCCTCCCCTCTCATGACCGTTTGCAGCCCGGCCTGACCACTCCCTTTGTCTTCCAGGTGCTGGTCGAGCGGTTCGGGCTGGCGGCGCGCTTCGGCTTCATGCACTTGGCGGCCACCAACCTGGCGCTGTGGATCCGCCTGGTGGTGTGGGAGTCCGGCAACGAGTGGACGTACTTCGTGTACCTGGCGCAGAGCGACGGCTACTCGTACTCGTACGACGGCCGCGCCGACCACGTGCCCACGCCGCTGCAGCTCCGCGGCTTCCCGCGCTCCGTCACGGACACCATGGCGCAGGCGGCGCAGGCCCTCACGGCGCCGCGCTCGCGCCGCGACCTGGGCCTCGGTGAGTCGAATGGGCGGCCTACCGTGCCGGCGATGGGGGCGCACTCTCATGCGGCTCAGCTCTGGTCTGAGTCATCTGGGAGGGAGTCAGCCTGTGGGGATAGGCCACCCCGCACAACACTCGTGCTCGGCGGGTCTGCCTATCCTGGAAACCACAGGCGTTCCATCGGCGATCGCTGATACCAGCTGCTTTGCTTTGTGTCTTACAGAGAGGCTTACGGACGAACTTATTTATTTAAGTGTACTTATTTATTTATTTCCCTCTGAAGGCAACGGCACATTCCGGTCGCACTACCAGCCCGTGTCGGACAGCCACATCTCGCAGGTGGTGTCGCTGCACCAGTGCCTCAACACCAACTCGCTGGGGCAGCTGTGGACGTCGTCCATGCCCTTCCTGTACCCGTTCATCATCCAGTTCAGCCTGATCGCCGCCGCCGTCACGTTCGTCATGGGGCAACAGGTGGGGCGCGACCGCCTGCCCGCCGTCAAGCACCGCAAGGGCTCATCTGGCGGCGTCCTCGGCGGCAAGGCCTGCGGGGTGCGCGGCGCCATGCACGCCGCCGCCCTGGACTGCGCGGGCGCCTCCAAGGGGCTGTTCCTCGGCCTCCTTTGCCTCGTAGCGGGCATCGTCGTCATAATCATCTTCCTTGTCGTCAAGGAGGATACGGACTTTCCCGCCGAAACTGTGTTCTGGCTTACCACCGGAGCACTAGCCACAGTAATTATTTTCCCATGGATGTCCTTCCTTACAGAAGTTGCCTTTGGTTGTTAGCTCTGTATTTGACTGGGCGATTCTTCAAACGTGCAACGCAGGTGTTGACGCTGAGCATCCTCATGACGGCCATCGGGCTGGTGCAGGTGCGCAAGCTGTCGCACTCGGGCAGAGAACCGTCCGCCCTGGATCGCCTGTTGTCCTCCGCGACCGTGGCGGGCGTGCAGTTGTACACCGTCTTCGGCATCGTGGTGGGCGCGGCTGGCGTGGGGCTCGTCCCGGACATCCTCAAGCCCGCGACGGCCTTCCCGGTGAGCACCACACCTAGGACTGGGCACTTGACGCCTCTCTCGCTCACTGCCCACTGACCCCGTATGTCTCTGCCCGCAGGATGGCGCCAGCGTTGCAGCGCCGCCGGACGACGACGGCGTCCTGACGCTGTGGCCGCCGATGACGCCGGACCAGCGGCGGCACGCCATGCTTCTGGCGGTGAGCGCGCTGCAGATGGTGCAGGCCTCCATGCAGAGCACCATGCTGGCCGAGGCGCTGCGGAGGACGTCCATCACGAGGCACCAGGCCGAGTCCCGGCCGGCGCGCCAGGTCGTCACCTTCCTGCTCTGCACCAACGCCGTGCTCTGGGCCTACGACACGTTCGTCACGCAGAGCTGGCTGAGCCAAGAGCTGCAACTGCGCTTCTACGGCGTGCTGGCCTGGGGGGTGGTGTCGCGCGTGGGGCTGCCCCTGCTCGTGTTCTACCGCTTCCACTCGTGCGTGCTGCTGCTGGACGTGTGGCGCCGCTGCTACCAGGCGCCACCGCGCCTGCAGGACCTGCTCGACCCGGGAAACTGACGGTGGTGGCCGTGGGGAAACCGAGTCCGCCCGACATCGACCGCCGCCCCCGGCCCGAGTGGCGGCCCCCGCGCCAAGCGCATCGACAGCGACGCCGCCGACGCCACTCTGCCCCGTCCACGCCGTCCCCCGGGCCTGCTGCGGTCGGCCTTGGCGGCGAGGTGCCGTCCTGGCTGGTCCGCCTCAACGCCAGGGTCTCGCAGCGCGTATCGGCGCAGGCGCCGCGCCCTCCGATTCGTACCGACTCCTCGTCCACGTCCGAACCGGAGCCGGAGCCGCAGCCCGAGCGGAGACGGGAGTGGCAGCGGGAGCGACAGCAGGAGCGGCAGGAGTGGCAGCGGGAGCGACATCAGGAGCGGCAGCCGCCGCCAACAGAACAACCCCCGCCGCAGCCGCCGCCGCCACCACCACCACCGCCGCCGCCTCCACCGCCGCCCGCGCGCGTCACGCCGCGGGTGCTTCCCCCAGCCTCTGTTCGGCCGCTGGTGGTGGAGCAGATTGCGTCGCAGCAGCCGAAGCCGTCGAAACAAACACCCCCAGCCCCACCACCACCGCCACCTCCTGCTCCCCCCCTCCCCGGGGCAGGGACCGGAGGGGCCGGCCTATACTAGCGCATCCTCGCCATTCCGCAAGGCCCCCTGGCACCCCAACCTGCACATGCTCAAATTCTGAGGCGTGCAACCCTCCCCCCTCTCTCCCGCCCCAACCCCACTCGCCTCGCCTCGCGACGCGCTGATCTGTGCCTTATTAGTTTGTCCACTCTGGTCCTCCGTCGTATCACGCTTAGACTTTTCTTCGAGCACGCCTCGGTGCAGGCAGGAAGGCTATCGGGAGGTTCATAGGAAAATTTACGTGTGCCTAGCCTATGGATTTCTTCTGAAAACGGAATAATAATGTATGGAAAGTTCTGTTGTACCTGCTTCTAGGGGAGAACCTAGGTGAGCCCTTCATCCTCTACCGAGCGAAGAGGTTCGATAAAAAGTCTAAGTATGAAGGTGTATGTATACGGTACTGTTACAGTATTATATGTGCAATATGTGTATGTAAATTTAATCCGACTTAATTTTCCTGAGAAGAGATAATAATAGGGAAGTTTATCATCATATCTTGATATTCAGAACAAAACAATTGCCTAACTGAAGAAATTCATTGCAACAAGATCCAGTCTACATTTTTCTGTGATAAGGAAGTTGTTTATTTTCAAAGTTGTTGTTGTCCTGTTTTACTACAATAATTGTTACGAACCTTGTTACAAGTTTAAAACTGATTGTTTTCTATTTTTTTAAGCTGCAATACCATTTATAAATAATTTATGATTAGTTTTATTATCATATTTATATATCAAAAACGTACTTTGTAACTACCCAACTTTTTGTTTAATCATTTTGGATTTACTGATCATTTTAAATTGGTATCAACGTTTAAAGACCCGGATCAAAATTTCAGATTAAGTCATGTGCAGAATAAATCTGGTAACGGTGTCATAGATGAGTACTGATGATCTGACATTGTTCTCATTAGTTCATGAAATGCTATGTATAAATGAAGTACATATATTATAAAAATAAATAATTACTTTAATTAAATTGTGTATAATGCATTTGAAAGTATAGTTTGAGGGATAAGAGGGATGAACAGTCTTTGTTTGTTTTTTTTTCAACTCAAACAGTTTCTGGAGACGTTCCATAAGGAAATAAATGAGGGAATAGATGGTGAGGAGGAGGACTGCGAATAAAAGACAAACAACTCAGTCAGGTTTGACCCCCTGGACCGGAAGAGTATACCCCCGGGAAGATCACCCGGCCGAACCTCCACTCCGCACCCAATAAATTCGCCGCCCGATATTGTCGTTCCATTCTTCTTATTCAGACGACGCACTCGCTAAAATTAACACGACGAAGGAGGCTTGTCCCGCCGGGTAGAGCAGGAGGAGGAAGGTGCAGCACGAGACAATACACCACCGGCAGACACGCGCCGGGCTGGGCGACGCGGGCGCGGGGCGAGGAGACGCCGCCGCCACTGATGCTGCTGACGCGATGCCCACCTCCCCTTTACTAAGTTTAGCCCGCGCGAGCGAGGGAAGTTGGGGGAGGGGGAGGGGGAAGGGGGGGGTGGAGGGGTTCTGCCCCCGGCCCGGCCTGCCCGGCACACGAGGCACGCGCGCGGCCGCACTACCTTTCGACTTTCGACGAGCCGGCGTGAGGCGTGCGGTCGCGTGCGTGCGGAAGAGGAGCGAGGCGAGGAGCGCGCAACTGCGGGCTTGAAGCCGGGCCGAGAGCCATGGCGAGCAAGCAGCAGAAGCAGCAGCAGCAGCAGCAGCCCGCGCAGCCGGCACAGGTGAGTCAATATGTGTTGATGTATGTGCATGTGAGGCCCGGCGGCTGGCCCGGCCCGACCGCCGGCGAGCTGAGCGGCCAAACTTTATGATCCGCGTAATTCAGCGGTAACGAGGGGGGAGGAGGGCCGCCGCCGGGCGCGGGGGTGGGCCGTCCGGTCGAGGACCTCATCCCGCCGCAAATTATTACGGAATACTTCTGAGCTGCGACGAAGGCAAAATTGGAAACGACGACCTGGGGAATGAAAAAACACACCCTTTGCATAAAAGCAATCAGTTTACTTCGTGTGTTTAGCCCGCTCTTGTGCTTTGAAAAGTGATCTATCAGCGGGAGTATGCAACAGCTTTGGTGTCCGCGTCCGTGCATATTAGACTGGCACTTAAAAATCACTTTTTAGATATTTAAAGGTCTTAGGGTCAGACTTTGTTTCTTTCGATGAAAAAAAAAATTCTATTTTTTTCGGAGACCGATCGGACACGTTTTAGTGCTGCCGCAACGGCCCTGAAGTTGATTTATTGTAAATAACTACACTAAGTCACATAAACGTTAATAACTACCCTCCCCGATGTCCGATTGACGTCTGATTTTGACCAAAAGTAAGGTCTAATATAGGGCAACTCTCGTGCAAAGCCACCCCGCTGTAGCTCAAATACTTTCAGAGTTATGGCCGTTGAAAGATTTTGGTCATTTTTAGTACCTTTGGGGAAATGACCAAATTTCACTAAAAATGACTTTGACCGTTGTATTTTGCTCTTAAAAATCAGCCACTGGTTCCCTACAGGTAAATTTGTGTTCTGAATCAGAATCCGTCGAGAGATTTGACGGATTACATCGTCTTCTTGCCATTCTGGAAAAACAGTCCTCCATAAGCCCCTAATAAAATGAAAGTTTTCAATGCCAGTAAAGACGATGTAATCCGTCAAATCTCTCGACGGATTCGGATTCAGAACACAAATTTACCCGTAGGGAACCAGTGGCTGATTTTTAAGAGCAAAAGACAACGGTCAAAGTCATTTTTAGTGAAATTTGGTCATTTCCCCAAAGGTACTAAAAATGACCAAAATCTTTCAACGGCCATAACTCTGAAAGTATTTGAGCTACAGCGGGGTGGCTTTGCACGAGAGTTGCCCTATATTAGACCTTACTTTTGGTCAAAATCAGACGTCGATCGGACATCGGGGAGGGTAGTTATTAACGTTTATGTGACTTTGTGTCGTTATTTAAAATAAATCAACTTCAGGGCCGTTGCGGCAGCACTAAAACGTGTCCGATCGGTCTCCGAAAAAAATAGATTTTTTTTTTCATCGAAAGAAACAAAGTCTGACCCTAAGACCTTTAAATATCTAAAAAGTGATTTTTAAGTGCCAGTCTAGTGCATATGACCGTCCCCCGAGAACGAGCTGAGCTAGATGTCCAAAATTGTCAGGGTGTCTTTGTGGTTGCATTTTAGGTTTGTTGGAAGACCAGGCCGATCATTTTTATTTTTATTTTTTTTATGGTCTCTCCGGTATTTTTGAAAGGGTAAAAATACGGAATGGAAACGCGATGGTGTCTTTCAAGCGATAGCTTGACGTTTTTTGGATACCATTCGCAAACCTCTTAACCCTCGTACGTGCTTCCGTTCTCATGATTCGGCGGAATACCCAATTTCACGCAAGCCACAAGTGGGTTTGGAGTGGCCGGCGCCGGCACTGGGCCTTACTATCTCGCACTCGAGGAGCGTCCGCGCGATCAATGACTGCATCCATAACGTCACGACGGCCCTCCGCGACCGCGATTGGCGGGCGGCTGCCATGTCAGCGACGTCATGCCTGTTTACCCGACTTCTTGTCCGCCCGTGTCGACTTCTCGGAAATCAGCTAAACGAGGACCTCAATTAAGAATTTGCTGATACGTCCCCGGCGTGTTGAATTTCAGCCATCCGCTCCGCTCACGCCTGGCTGTTAAACCCAGTCAAGTATTTGTCCACTATTTTAAAAGTACTTTTCGTGAGTTTTTTCAGGCGTCACCGATGCCGGCCTGCATGGTGTGCGGCCGGCCTGCAGGACAGCGGTGCGCGGGCTGCGGCGCCGCCTACTACTGCGGCAAGGACCACCAGAAGCTGCACTGGAAGCAGCACAAGCCGGGCTGCTCGCCGGTCAAGGTAACGAGGCCTCTCCGCCCGCCCTATGCGAGGTGGCTGATTCGCCCCACGTCCGCACCCACTTCAGTACCGTTCACACGCAAGTTGGACTACCGCACACGCTCGTGCCGGCGGTTTACCCATTTGATAGAAGCCTGGGCCGTAAGAAAAAATGAAACGTCCAAGAAGTACGCCCATGAGCTTCATTCGGTAAATTACGGGAGCAAGGCGCCTGCGAGACTCGGGGTAGGCCACCCCGCAGTACACGCCTACACTGCATGCCATATGTTGCCTACCTACCAGGCGCTATGAGAGCTCTGCGAAAGGCTAAACTTGTCAGATTCGTAGCGGCGGATGACGGACGCACTTTCTGGATGTTCCATTAAGGAACGACGTCCAGAAACTAAAGATAAAATCTGGCCGCACGAGACCCCGCGGTACAGTCTGCGCGTCCTACAAATGTGAACGGGTTGGGGATCAGCCACCTGGCAGTCCTCAGGACCGCGCCGTTAAACTCACTGTGGTTTGCAGGAGGCCAGCTCGGCGCAGCTGGGCCGCTACCTGGCGGCCGCGCGCAACCTGGCCGTCGGGGAGGTGGTGCTGCGGGAGGCGCCGCTCATCGAGGCGCCGCCCCCCAGCACGCAGCCGGTGTGCCTCACCTGCTACAAGCCGCTGTTCGAGGCCTCCGCCAAGGAGTGCGAGAGGTAAGGTGACGATGCGGGACCCCGCGACCCCACCACCGACCGAGCGCTCAGCCCCCCACAACGCTCCTTCTTCTGTTCCTTCGCCCGCAGGTGTGGGTGGCCGATGTGCGGGCCAGAGTGCGCCAACAACCCCAAGCACCGCGGGGAGTGCAGGCTCACGGTGCAGAAGAGAGGCGACAAGGTAAGCGACGTTCTCACTGTCGATACTCAAGGGAATTGTGTTCTATATTTTCGTACATCCAATTACTTTCTGCTTCTCTAGATGAACATCCGCAACTTTGGGCTGCCGCACCCCAGCTACCAGTGCATAGCCACTCTGCGCTGCCTGGCGCTCCGGGACAGCTCGTCCGCAAAGTGGCGCCGGCTGCTGGAGATGGAGTCGCACAGCGAGCAGCGCGCCGGCTCGCCCCGGCAGGAGCAGGAGCGCTTCGGCGTGGCCCTCTTCATCCTCCGGGTGTTCCCCAAGCTGCGCGACATCGACAAGCTGACCGAGGAGGAGATCCTGAACATCTGCGGCATCCTGCAGGTGAGCGGCGCGGAGACGGGCGCAGCGCCGATCGGACCGGCCACATCAGTGACCCCTGTCATTTCCTCAGGTGAACGGACACGAGGTGCCGCTGAGCGAGCCGCCGTACGTGGCGGTGTACGACAAGGGGTCCCTCTTGGCGCACTCGTGCCGCGCCAACTGCGCCAAGAGCTTCTCCTCGGCCGGGGAGCTGGTCGTGCGCACCGCGCTGCCCGTCAAGGCGGGCGAGCCGCTCACCATCTGCTACACGGACCCCATGTGGGGCACGGCCGCGCGGCGCCAGCACCTGTACGACACCAAGTTCTTCTGGTGCCGGTGCGAACGCTGCGTCGACCCCACCGAGTTCGGCTCCTACTTCAGCGCGATCGCCTGCCCCGGGTGAGCCAAGCTCCGAGCACACACTTCATTTCCCCCCGCGGGAAATTAGGTTTGCCCGCCCCGGGTGACTGCTCGTGCACGCGCTTGCAGCCGGAACTCACTCTCCGATCCCCTGTCGGCAGCGGCGACGGCGAGCAGCCGGACTGCCCGGGGGCCATCATGCCGGACGACCCCCTGGTGGAGGGCGGCGCGCCGGAGGGCGGCGACCCCGACATGGGCGAGCAGCAGTACTGGCGCTGTCCGACGTGTGACATCAGCATGCCGCAGGGCTCGGTGCTCTCACTGCTCAGAAGGGTCGGCGAGGACCTCAGCGAGCTGGACAAGGACGACGCCGAGGCCTGCAGGCTGTTCCTGCAGCGCTACGGCGGGGACGAGTTCCCCCTGGACCTCAAGGTGAGCTGTTGTTGTTGTCCGTTACTCGTTGGAAGACGCGTTGTGTGGGTAAAAAAGAGAATGTCTCCCAATAACGCCCGCGGTGCTCTAGGAGAAGGACGCCGTGCGCCGGCCGCTGCTCTCTCGCAACCACTTCTACCTGACGGACGTGCGCCTGGCGCTGGCGCAGCGCTACGGCCAGGACGGCGTCGACGCCCAGCAGGGCCTCCGACAGCTATCTGACGGCGAGATCGCCCACAAGCGCCAGCTGTGCCGTGAGCTGCTCAAGCTAGCCGAAAAGCTGGTGCCAGCCGAGCATCGCATGCGGGGGCTGCTGTGGTTCGAGCTGCACGCCGTGGAGGTGGAGGCGTCGCGGCGTCGCGGCCTCGATCAGGGCCCCGACCCCGCCGCCCTGCGCGTCAGCCTGCTGGTGAGTCCCAGTCCCCTCCCCGCCTCCCCACCCCCACTCGCCCTTCTCGGCCTCCCTGCTGTCACTCTGCCCTCTCTGCCCCCAAGGAGTCCCGCCGCTGTCTGACGGAGGTCATCGAGCTGCTGCGGTGCGAGCCCCCCGAGCTACCGGAGGGCAAGGTGCTGCGGCAGGCCCGCCTCAACTTCAAGGAGGTGGATCAGCTGCTCTGCGCACTGCACCACGCCGTCGGGGACGCACCCTTGTGATATCTCGTCATTGTCATCGCTTCATGCTTAATCATCCTTCATCCGCAAATGTCTCTTCACAGCCTTCGCCTTTCATGTTTATAAATAAACGATTTTTTTGTTCTTTTTCGTTATTTAATGTATTTATTTCTCGCTTCAGGCCGGCTACCCACCAAACTTTCATGGGACAGGATGTATACAGGGAAGGTATCAAACCGAATATCCTTAAATTATTTATTTCATAACAAAGAGATTTGTGCTTCTTGACATGAAGTATATTATCATATTTCGATACAACCATATAGTCTGATTAAAATAACATAACTTACATAGCCTTACCAAAAATACTGTACACTGAGAAATAAATATCCTACAAAACTTAAATAAAGTAGGAGAAGGCAGCTCTAATCACAATAATAATATAATACGAGAAAAAAAAATTGTTAACATGGCAATTCTGAATAAGAAGGACGACTAAAAGCAAATCTGCTGAAATAAATCTAAATCGAAGGAATTCAGATTGTCATTTACCTTTGCTAGCATTTGAGACCAGAATCGGCATTATGACTCTGACTCGACAATGTTTTTTTCGGGGTAATACTGAAGAGGACAGAAAAAAATAATAACAAAGATCACAAAAATATTCATTCGGCCTGATTATTCAGTCTCATAGGGAAATGCTCCTCCTCTCTCATTCGCTGCTCGCTCTCTGAAGGACTCGACCAGCGGCGGTTGGCAATAACAGGCCGCGCCTGCCTGGTGCCCGGACAACAACGGCAGCAAACACTCGAACGGTAACGCAGCACGCTCCACTAGCATACATCATCAAGGAAAGGCATATCACAATACTTGTAGGAAATTCAATGGAACATTTAAGTGGGCATTCAAGGAACCAATTCATAGGAAAACGCGATCGCGGACGGGGCACACGGACCTCTGCACGCGTCTAGTCGAGCAGACGCCTGCGGAGGTCCCTCTGCGCCCGGCCCGCGCCAGTCCAGTCGGCATCTCGAGACGTCTACTTCTGCATAGTCTGTAGGCGAGTCGAGTTACCCTCCCCTCCCTGTTCCTACCCCGCCCCGCTCGGTGATGCGCGGTGCCGGCCCGGGGCCTAGATCCAGACGAAGCCCCAGTACAGGACGTTGAAGACGACGAAGCTGGCCGGGAACACGACTCTGCTGCGCCGGTCGATCCACTGCGCGATCTGCTGCGGCGTCATGGTGGTGAAGCCCTGGGGCGAGGGTGAGGGCGAGCTCAGCCCGTCCGCTTGCGCCATGTTCTGCGCCTTGTAACCCCTGCCGCCTGAGCCTGGCACGGGGATGACGATGTCCTGGCAGTCCTGGGTCGACTCTGTCGAGCCTGCGGCCAGCGTCGAGCTCAGGGTGTACGTTGACGCGTAGGGGTCGCGGATGGACTCGAGTGACCCCACGCTCAGCGTGTTGGTGGCGCCCTGCGTTATAGCAACAGATTCGTCAGAAACGTGCTCGAGGACAAGGAAAGCACGAGCAGAAAGTTATAAGGGTGACTTACGTATATGGAGATCTCAGGTTGCGGCTTGCGTCCCTCCTCGACCATGTCGGGGCAGGACCTGCACCGCTCCATCATGGTCTGCTTACGGTGCAGGGTCGGCGTGAGCGTTGACCTCAGCACGTGCTTCGTGTTGACCTTCTTGAGCTCCACGTTGTTCCTACGAAAATGATCGACCCGGGTTAGAGGGGGAACCAGTCTGAGAAGACGCGAGGTGGGAGGGTTGACTGAAAATGGCATGTGGCTCTCACTTTCGACGCCAAATGGTGTTGACGAAGGCGAACTCGACGAGGGAGCCGAAGATGAAGGCGGTGCACACCATGAACCAAATCTCGGTCGCCTTGATGTACGACACCTTCGGCAGGGGGCTGCCCGAGTTGCGCGTCAGCGTGATGAACGTCAGCATGGTGCTGGTGCCTGCGGAGCACAAGGGGTAGCGCGGCTGGTCAGTCCAGGTTCAAGGACAATTACGTCTACCGACCAGGCTGGCCACGGATCACGATGGCGTCCCTGAGGTAGACCATCAATCAGACACGGGTAAACACAGGCTCTCGCTCACCCAGCGTGGTGCGGCCGGGGACGGCGTTGGGGTCCAGCCAGAAGGACACCCAGGAGACGACGACCAGCAGGATGGAGGGCACGTAGTAGTCCATGATGTAGTGGCCCACCTCGCGCTTCAGGTGGAAGTCCACCTGCAGGCGCGAGTAGTTGCCGCCGAACCTGTCCATGCCCATCTCGTCGATGTCCATGTCCGCGAACTCGTAGCTGCCCTGGCTCTCGTTGTGCGAGTGCGACTGCAGGCAGTACTCCGTGAGGCGCAGCTTGTTGTCCAGAATCACCGGGTTGTTCTCCTCCCACTTCAGCTTCATCTCCGTCGTGTTGTACATCCCTGGGCAGCAGCAAAGGTTGCGAATGACGAAAGTGTCCGCAAGAACCAGAACTTACTCGAATAAAATAGAAAGAAAAAGCATTGTCAGTCTGTTTACTTACAGCTCTCAAACACCATCGGACACGTCTGCTGGTCGAAGGGGAACTTCTGTAGGTTCATGATGCACATCATTGTGACCTTGATGCGGATGGAGAAGAGCACAGTTCCCGAGGGCTTGACGGTGACGATGACATCCTCCTTGTCCGCGCCCATCACCCTGGAGTCGTGCTCGTTGACGAGGTACACGTGCGGCACCCAGATGCGCTCCCGGATCACCTTCTCGCCAATCACCCTGGACATGGTGGGCGCCGTGGCGGAGTACGAGAGGCGGGGGTCCCTCCAGCGGTAGCGCAGCATCAAGTGGGCAGTGAATTGCTGCGTCAAAAAAATGCGACTCGGTTTAGATTTTCCAATTATTTGAAAATGGGATAGGAAAAGCAACAACTTGAAGCGTTTAGCTCACCAGGGAATGCGTCTCCACGGAGCCCAGGTAGTAGACGAACATGCGCGTGTAGATTGGTAGGGGATCCCCGTTGTGTGAGGGCCTGGAGAAGCGGTCATAACGGCAGGGCTCGGTGAGCCTCTGGAGGAGCTCGTAGGAGCTGCGGCTGTCCTCCAGCGACGGGCAGCTAGGTTGCCTGCGGAAGAGAGCATCATCGTCAGACTGGCATCGGAGCGGGGCGGGGCGGGGCCGGGCCGTACGGGGCCGACCGATAGCTATTCACCGAACTATCTACGCTATTCGCCAATATAAAGCAGCCAACAGTTGGATGATGCAATAATTTCGCGAAATCGCTCTCAACGGGTTGTCGATGCCGTCTCGGGTGTAAGTGCGTTCGCTTATCGCCCGGTCGAGTTCCATGCGGTCACCTTTTTGTCTCCGTCAAAGTAGTGTATTACAATAATCCATTACCGATAGCCGACGGACGACCACCAAATCACTTAAATGGGCAGACGGGAAACACGACGGGTCGCGCAGCTGCAGATAAAAAAGCTCATCGAAAGTGCCCGCGGTGCACGCGCCCCGGTGCGCGCCGCACCGCCTCGTGACGGCGGCGGCCGTGTGTTGTTGCTCGCGGGGGGCACGGGGCGCGGCGGGGCGCGTGGCACACCGGCCGCCCGCCGCGGTGGTCCTGGGCCTGTCTGGGCCGGCCGCGCCACACCACGCCACGCCGCGCCACGCCGATCCACACCGCACCACGCCGATCCACGCCGCGCCACGCCGCAGGGCAGGGCCATGCAGGGCGGCCAAGAGCGCATGGAGTCGCATTAATTCCTCCCCGAACCTTGGCGCAGCGTGGCGCGCGTGGCTTCGTCCACACGTCTGACGCAATGAACTTGTCGGTGGGTGCGAGCTAGCGGCCCTGCACCCCACCGAGCACAACAAACGCCCGTCCCAACAGTGGTGGAGCCCCCTGCGCTGCCGTTTTATCAACACACTATATTTATTTATATTTCTGCCACCAAATGCATCTCTTCCTTGGCTTCACCACCAGGCTGCCAGCAGTACGATTCAGCGTGTGTGTCGCAGGTCGTCAGCTGCTGCCCGCCAAAGCAGCCGAAAGTCGAGGAGCGGGAAGGGAGGGAGGAAGGGGTGCCTCTCCTATCTCTGCTTGTAGACGTTGTGCTGTGAGCAGATAGTCTCCGTGTGGGTGTACGTGTGTTGTGTGCGCGCCTACGTGGTGCTTCCCCCCAGAGGGCGGGTTACACATTCAGTGCCAACAAACGGCACCGATTAAGGAAATTCAGGCGGAGCCCAGCCCCACCTCTATTAGCCTCTGCGAAGGCAAATGTTTGTCCCGGCCTAAGCCCCCGCGTAGAGTCACCGGCAAAACACTCGGATCACGAGGTGCTTGCTTACCGGGGGGCTGCTGGGATGGGAACCCCCTGTAGTTGTGGGTACACTGTACCGCCGCGCAGGCGTGTGAGACTGTACCGCCGCGCAGGCGTGTGAGTGGGTTGCCTACCCGCACGGAGACCTCCCGAGGGACCGCCGGCATGGTCGGCAAGGCCACGCCGCCGCCGGCGACTTGGACTCGGGGACCCTTCCCGCGCGGCCCAAAGTCCTATCCGAGGGGGGCAATAACTCCCTTTTGATGTGTACACATGATTCCCGAAATCCTTGATTCCCAGTGATTCCCGTCCACTTATGTTCATTTCTTCGGTTTTCTAGTGGTCGAAAACGCTTATTTCGACTAATTTGTACGATTTCCATTAGTTTTATCTTAAGCGATTTCTGTTGATTTTGATTAAATTTTATCCTGATGATTCGCAGGTAGGTGTACACATGATTCCCGGAGTTACTGCCCCCTCGGTCCTATCCAGAACGCCAAGTGTACACCAGGGAGTTTATCGGCCACCTTCATAGTTAAGTGCATAGGCCTTAGGGGAGGACGCTGGGGGGATCGGGTCGACACGTGGCCACTGGGGGTCGCTCGGCCCGCTATTCACGAGCGAGCTGCACGCGGATAGCGCCCTACTCTATGCAAGAGCGGCGCCGGCGCCACAGAACGACGACGACGTCACGTCGGGAGGAGCAGGGAACGCGAAAGGGGGAGGGGGGAGGAGATCTTCGGATTTTCGGTACACTCGACCGGGCAGAATAACGTGAAGAAGCTCCCGGCTCCGCGCCGCACCGCGCCGCCGTTTGTGCAGCCGCGGCGCGCAAACACACAGCTCACCGATAACGCCATCCGAGTTAACAGCCCGCCCATAAAGATCCGAGAGGGGGGCGGAGCGGGCGCTTAAAGGAAGAGCAAAAGTAGTATTTGTGCCGCACAAGGAGCCGACGAGCGGCCGCGTTCAAATAAGCTTCACCAGGCCGCCGCCCCTCCTCCAGACGGGTAACACCATACCTGACACCTGTTTCACGTTTCACCTCGCACTCATTACATATCTTACACCGATTTACACCTCACGGACGGGGCGGGCGCGAGCAGCAGCAGCCCCGGCCGCGGCGAGACGGGACGGTGAAGGACGGGCCACGTCCCGCGACGCACCACGCAACACGCCGTCGTGTGTCATTTCCGCCGAACAAGGCGCCAATTAAATCGACGAGACGATGACATTTATGGGCCGTAAAAAACGGAAGCCCCGATCGTGTCGTAGGCCTGGCCCGGCCGGGCCGACCGGGATGGTCCAGATGCAATAAGGGAGCGGGTGGTGGGAGAGGGTGCGGGCGAGAGGCTGAGGAGGGAGGAGGGGGGAGGGCCTTGCGGAGGTAGTTGTTGCACGTGGTCGAGAGTCGTGAACGACTGGAACAAGCCGCTGGCGGATTGGAGGGGAGGAGTTATTATACACCTTTCGTGCACATAACGTGGCGGACTCGTCACGGGATGTCGGAATTATGGTTTCGCGTCTTCTATTGGGCTCGGGCATATCCCATATCGATGGCGTGGGTCATTTAAAACACGCAGCGCCATTGTCGCCGTCACGGCATTCTGCGGACGGTCAGTCCAAGTGTGATGCTGCATTGCCACCATTTCTGCAACTATATCCTCCCCCTCCCGCTTTGACACCTGCTTGGGGTGCCCATCTCGGCCACACCTGGTACCTGATGGCAGCACAGCCGTAAAAGATTATTCGCCTTGAGACAGAGTATACCCTTCCTTTCGGCAAGCCGGGGCAGGCGGCGGGCCTGACCTGACTCACCAGCATCACAGGACGCGCGTGAGGCGAGCCCCGCGCCGTCGCTTTGTAGCGCGGTCCCACGGCTCGCATATCGGCCCTTCGCACCCACGCTACACATCCTTAGGAGGAAGTAAGAGGACCTTGCTCATCCTCCTCAGCCACCGCCGCTCCTGCTGGCTTCTAGGTCAACGGGGCGCCCCGATCCGCTGAAGCATATCAACGGCCGTTTGTCGAACGTGACAAGCGAGTGCTCAGCATGTACGCCCGCACCGCCCGCCCGCGCCCGCCCCGTCACTCTCGTTGCCGCGCTGACGATGCTCGCGGCAGATTAACGATGGGCTTATCAGTTTGTTCGATTTGAGTGGCCTGGCCCCAAAGCGCATGTCGGCCGCTATGCCCATCATCATATGGGGTCGATGTAATCATCGACAAAAAAAGTGATGGCTCGCGATCTCATCGAGCGCCATTCCGAGCAACCGCGAGGGCTTTGTGGGAGAAGAGTTCCCTCCGCCCTCTGCCCGGTGCTCGGTAGGTACTCGGGTACCGGCCCGGCGGACGCTCCTTCCCGGCCGCCGCCACTCCCCCCC